ATATCATAAAATAATTTTTAAATACGAAAATTTGGTGTAAATACATTTTTAAATTATAATTAAATTGGCTTGCATTACGAACGCTAAGGTGACAATGTGATAATTAAATATTAATTATCAATTTGTACCCTAATGCGGGACATGATAATAATCTATCGTGGGGTAACATAATTTGAAGAAATTAGTTACAGTTTGTTTCTTACGTTTATTAAGCACAGCGCCATCTACACTTACTATGCTTAACTAAAGAATATATTAAAAAAATTAAGTGGAAGCAGTGCACTAGTTTTGATTTTTGCCCGTAAGATGGCAGTTTATTAAATGCTTTCAGTTTCTGAAATACTTTTTACCTTTGGGGATTTGTTGGGCACATAACTTACAAAAAACAGGATCACTCATTACTTCTTTGTTTTGTGTATTTATTTCCATTATACTAATATATTTCAAAAAATCTTAATCGTAAAAAATAATAAAATTTAATATAATAAATATAATAAAAAATCATATATAGATTCACAACAAGGAGTAGCCCTCTCTCAATTCTCGAAGAGTAAAATATTTATCAGTTGATTTGATAGTTAGTTGGGGATAAGACCAGGTTGCCCAAAATTTTCCATTAAACCGAAAGCGGTAATAATTCGAAGTATTCGTACGGATTCACCGTTGCTTTGAGTGCAGAATGCGAGGCAAGTTTGAAATGCCAAGTATTTACGGTGAATAAAGCAAAAGGGGTAAGGTTTATAGGGATTTTATTGCAATTTACGTGGTACGGTTTGGTCGCAGCGAAATTTTGCTTTCCATTCTATAATACTCTGACTGCAAAACCTACGAAGTCGCCTCAAAATTATCAGTTCTAGTAAAAAGAACTTATAGATAGTATTAATTAATGTAACATTTATTGTTATGTGATTGAAATAGTTAATACATCGGTTGAATAGTTTCATATAATACTATTTTTTCATTACTATATCCTACATCAATTTAATGTCGAAGTTTATTTGAAGCGAAATGCGAAGTCTGTCATTTGACGGGAAGTTTGGCAGTTAATAATGATCGTGAATGGAGACTTCAGAAGACAGTCAATGAAGGCAGACGTTAGTTGGTAGACTATCTGCTGCAAACTGCAAACAGACGTACAAGTTTCGGCAACTTAGGCCATTATATCTCATCGAAGCCACGTGCATTGCGGTTTGTTAAATGTAAATAATTTACAAGCACACTGTATACATAATTACTGATTATAGAGGGTGTTTTATGTGTCTTAGTGTAACATTAAAGTTGGACCGATTTTATTATGTGAACAAATATTCGATTTGTTTTCTTCGCATAAGCGTCACAAGTCAGTCATTTTATTATATGTACTCAGTCACTTGTGTTTTTTGGTATTTTTAATAACTGTAAGTGTTATTTTAGGTTCTTTCTTCTGTTCTTTCTAAGATACAGATAATACAAAGTTAAAAGCATGGCAACACCATTATTCATTGATTATCTCCGCATCTCAGTTCTCGTCATTAGTTTTTGCTCAGAGTTTTCGCTAACGTTTCCCTTCGTGAATTGATTATGTTCAATCAGATTGAATGGCGGCCATTTATTGTGTCTCAAATGTATTGTTATGATTTTGCCTCATCTTACGGAAAAGATTACCTAATTTCTATATTAATGAGACGTCTTTGTTTGTCTATCGGAAACGATCACGTAATTACGTGACAAATGAAATAATATGTCTTACTATCTTACTAGTATTATAAATGCGAAAGTTTAGGTGTATGGATGGATGTTTGTTTGCAGGTATCTCCAGAGCGGCTAAACATAGTCTGGAAGAACACATACGCTAAATATTTTTTTAAATTCCTTACGAACGGAGTGTCGGGAGATAGCTAGTTATGAATTATGAACAATATATAATTAGTAAACGTAACAACGGTCTAAGGTAGAACTTATCGAGTATAATTTTCAAATATTTTTTTTAATTTTATTAGAATTACCTACAAAGATTATGTTCTTTTACAAAAATTATGTTTGTATATCTATAATCCTAATTTTCTCTAAATAACAATAATTATACAAAGACATATTACAAGAAAGGATAGAACTTTCTTACATTCGGCATTATTTTGTTACTTTTTAGTGTATTTTGTTTGAGAATGATTTTTTAAATTGGTTTTTCTTTTTAATTTTTCAAGTGCATTTTGTTTAAGAATAATTTTCCTATGAAGTTAGATTTCTTTTTTCTTAATTTTTTTCTTTTTTTACGTATTTATATCTTCGTTGGATGTTTAACATATAAGTTCATAAGGAGCATGAACCAAACATGAAATAAAGTTATGTCAGTACTACAAGAAGTCATATAAAGACGTTATTTGACGACCATATTATTGTTTTATTGTCCTACGG